CATCCCAAAGCAGCTCTTGGACCAGAAGGTTGGTGAGCCAACCTCTTGTGATCGAGACAGCGGTTTTTACAAGGTTTTCAGATAGCTCGTGATGGTTTTGTTCACTCTTGAACGCATGGTCGTTCACATTCGTCCTCCGTTGAACAAGTCGAAGAACAATGCACCGGCGCCGGGTATTTTTCTTTTTAACGTATGAGTCTCACACCTCAGCACTTTTCTTTCAACACTGACAACAATTAGACTCTTCAACTTCTCATCATTGGCTTTTGAGTTGCGCTGTCATTCATTTTCTGAATTATCGACAATTGCAGCTTTCTTGATTGACGATACACCAACGCGACTTCGACGCTCAGATCTCAGACCTATCTTTCGCTTTTGTTCAGCTGCTCAAAACATTGACGTACTCCAACCCGGACTTTTTGACATTCTGGGCGCACATCAGCAGTAGTGGCAACAGTATTGCGCCAACGCGGTCCGACATCACTACCACCATCCCTATGGCACCACAGCAACAGCAACCTGCAGCGACACCACTGCACCCTTCACCACACCACCACAACACCATCTGCACCCTGCCCACCCGAGCCACTTCCTCCCTCAGCCGCACCGGTGACCACCACTCCACCAATCAGCTCCGTACCACCCAACATTCCGAAGCTACTGAACACCTGGACCCAAAGTGACACTCATCTCGACACGAACACAGTGCGTGGCCAGACCCTGTTTCGGACCATCCAACCAACCGCATGGTCCCGGAAGTGTAATCTCGCCGGCCAACCACTCGACATTTTCCCGTGGCAATTGAGCAGGTTCGGATTACAAGACCTAAAGCCTCAGAACCTTATCACAAGGCCGATACACCGCTTCCCAACTCTTGACAGACATCCGAACCCACAACCTTGACGTCTACTCGACCGCCGAGTATCTGCACCAACAGTCGGGACAACCCGTCCCAAACAAGACAGCAGACGCTAAGACGTTCATGTCACCATTGATTGCCAAACTCACGAAGTTTCTGCAAACACTCACTCCCCCTGCAGGCAACGGCGCAGCATTGCGCCGCCTTCAACAGCAAACCGACAAACTACATCAGCAAGAGAGGAACTACAGCGTGCCTCCGACAAACTCCGCACTCACGGCATCGCTCTTACACCCACCAAGCCTTCCACTATCGCGCCCCCACCTGCCGCCACAACACTACCACTCACGGCCCCCACCTCCACCCCACCCACCTCACTGACAATTTTCAATGCCACATCCCAAACACTTCATGACAACTACCCTGCCAATTTGCCCAGGCAGGCATCCAGAAGTGGTTCAAAACACTGCCACCCACAACACCAACCCAAGCCAGCAACATCCTCCAGATCCTTGGCGATGAACGCATCACAAAAGAGCAGCTTCAAGAAGCGGCAACGCGATACGGTTTGCCATCAGCTCGAGTTCTGAAACTCCCTCCCAAACCCCTCCAGCATTTGGTCGCTGCCGGCTCAGCCCTCCCGGCCTGACTCTGTTTGCAAACCCAACAACAACCTTCACACAAACACCTACAACTACTTTCCACCCTCCACACCACACTTTCACACTCAGTCCACTTCACTCCACAGATCGACAAAGTACAGGCCACCGTTGGCCTCATTCACCTTACCAGCCTCTTTGCGTTCCCATCCCCCACACACAACTGTCAAAAATGGCGACGCCGTCTGTCACAATTTCACATCACACCCACTATATACTTATATCACTACAACAACTTTTCTCAACCCAATTGGCTCCACCGGCATTTACATAGCCAAGAGGGAATACAACCGCCTCGCTTAACGCAGGCAACTACAAAACAATCACGCACTCACAAAAGACACTTCGCCACTATACAGCACTCTTTACCTTTCCCACCACGACACCTACGATCAAGCTTGGACACATGAGCATAGACACATCCAAGATTGGCAACCAACACTCACATCGCACTCACTCAATTCACTCGCACGGTTACCCATAAACGGCTTTGTCCAACGACTACGCCGTCGACACCGCGCCACTTCACAACCCAACCTCCACACTTCCCAACGCCTCCATGCACTTACCATTCTACATGGACTCAGCAAACACACCCATTCTTCTTTTGAAACAGCCAAAGCCATCCGCAGCGGCCGCTACACCCATCTCGAAATCTATGCCTTCAGACGAATGGCTGCCAGCCTCGAAGAACCCGATCGCTCCAGAGTTCTCCACCTGCTCAATTCAGCCCTCACATTTTGCAACCTCACCATTCCCAAGTCCAACGAACCTTTCACCATTCTGTTCCTTGCCCACACACTGAGCATTGGTCTCTGGTAAAATGCCATTTCCACCGCGTCATTCCCTTTCACCCACCTACCAGCCGCATACGCAATCCCAGCCCGCAGCACAAGACATGCCTTGCAGCTGCCAACATACGCACTCCTTACTCCATGACCCTGACAACACACCACCACGATGGCCACTGCGTGCTCACTCTCAGTGATTTGTCCTTACCGCCCCATCCACAGCTTTTCCTACGAGCCACCAGAACCCAATACTTCCACCGCTTCACCGCTACCATCACCCAGTGGCTACGACATCACGGACTTCCAACTGCACTTCGCCTTCACAGCCAAACCTTTTTACCTTTTTACACACCAATGGCACGACCACATTCACGCAACATCAGACTGCAACAGTTTCTCACTGACAAACTCCTACTACATCACGCGGACCACGAACTCCAGAACTTGCGCAGTTTCTGCCCCCAACATTACTTCCATGGATGCCTCACCACATGGAACACACCACAACTGTTCAAACCACTCCCACACCTCACCAATGAACAACTACAATCCCTTCTTACCAATTCCTTGTCACCACACCTGCGACGAGCCTATCCATGGGCTTTCCAAAACAATTCCATACACCACACGGAGTGGTCTTCCTCAAACAGAAGAAGTCATGGAGAAAGGGCCGTGCAGCGATTAGCTATTTTCGGTCCATCGCGGGCACTCTACTGCGAGCCACATCCAAAGCGCTGGACATCGTGCTTCTGAAGCTACTCCCTCAGCGCCCTGGCCAACTATCCATTCCCAACCTTTGGAAACACCTCCACACTCATTTCAGCAACACTCCACACGATTTAATTTCACCGCCATCAATGACGACCTTGTCGGCTTTTTCAACAGTGTTTGGTAGATGCAGTCATCAGCCTGCGCAACCGCTGGCACCTTCAACATACCACTACTACCCTCCACCAGCAACCCCATTCAACATTCTCACCTTGGCAGACACTACGTTCACCACCCACACAACTCACATCCCCCTGATCGTTCAACAAGCACTTCACTCATGCATTTTCCAAGCGTGCCACACTTACTTTCAGCAGATGCAAGGAGCAGGCATCGGCAGCCAACTTTCCCCTGCCATAATGCCTGGCTTGACATACCACACCTTCCTTCAGCAACCTTGCCTCCACCTCTTCAACGCACGATACGTCGACAACAGGTACATTTTGCTCAAGGACAACTTCATTCATTCACTACCCATTGCGACACTTGCTCATCCAGAACTTTACGGACACCCCGTTGAAATCGAGGCAGTAGAGGATGACCATCTCCTTGGCTTCTTCATCAATCCACAGACACGAAAAATTACATTTCAACTTCCCACTCATCCTTGGCAGATACGTGACAATCACTCAGCAGGGAGCCACAGACTAAGACTTTCTGGCCTCCAATCACGACATCACACTTTGCAACACTATACATATCCGCCAGAACTTGCCTCCACTTCAGCGCAAGCGCTCGTTCAACTCTACGCAACAAAAGGTCACTCGCCAGTCCACTGCGCTGCAGCTCCGCAGCCGAGTCGCCGGAAAAAAGATCTACAATGCTGCTGCCTATTGACAGTTCACTGTTGCACTTTGTCCTTCCAGCTGCGCCGATTTCGGCAAGTTGTGTGTGTGTGTGTCAAACCCCGTCTCCAGGGGCGCTACTTACCTGCAACCTATTACCTTTCCACTCCTCATGTACAGATCCACCGGAGGGGAACTGGGCACTCTGTGACTCACCCAGTTCAACGGAGCTAGGTCACAGAGTCGGACTGTTCATCCGAACGTACCTGCATCATTTTTAAACATGTTTTAAATGACTTGTTGATTTCAACCATATTGTCATGTTGTTGCAGGGCCATTTCACAGGTTGAGGCTTGAGCACTCTAGACTGGTATCGCAGTAATGAACCTTAAAGCGCTAATGCTCACTGCGCACCACTGAACCGCAGCTCCGCGGAGCACTCATCTTAAGTGAGGCTGTCGCGTGGTGCTCTCATGTGATATGTGTTGTCTCATATTGCATGTTCTCGTACAGTACTTGTGCTCTCATCTCCTATGCGCACCTTCACCCACGGGTGTGCTCTCATTTGTGAGCTCATTTCTGTGCTCTCCAAATTCCTGATCTCAAGAGATTCCGTGACAGGTGTGCTCTTGAGTGCGCTCATATGCGTGGTCTCATGTGCTCTCATATGTACGCCACCTTATGAGTTCCATCGTCAGCACCATCATTGCGTCACCATTATCAACCACAAGTCATCAACACCATCCTTCATAACCCTTCATCGTCATCGTCATGGTCAGCATGTTTGCGTTTGCGTTTGGGTTTGCGTACGGTTGGTCATATAGCTCCAGCCGATCCCTGCGCCGGTGGGCTTGCGGAGCACCTGTGTGTTCTTGCTGTGACCATCTGCCCGGTGGGTTTAAGGGAACCAATCTCAAGGTTTTGGAGAGGGTTGCTTCACTGAAGACCGAAGTGCTGCTGATGAGAAACTCAAGAAGGTCGCAGTATCCCTACTCAGGTGGACTAAGAAGTCGAACTCTGTTGCGTCCGTGCATTTCAAAACACAAACTTCGAAAGGCCTTGGATCGTTTTCCATCTAATTACTGCAGAGCAATGTGGAATGTCTCGGGCGAAATGTCCCACAATGCAGCCGACTTGCAGGAAGGCTTCAGGTTGCTGAGCCCCGGGATGTTTAAAGCCACAAGGTCAATCCCAACTTGAGCCAAAGTGCAGAAAGCAGTCTGGTGTTTGTGTTTCAGCATATGTCCAACTGCCAACCACTGCCATTCCTTCCCTTAAAATCAAGAACACCGCTCAAGTGAAGAAAGGCACCTGCAGCTGCAGCGAAATTGGAGCCCTGCCGCTAAAGCAGTTCCGCAAGAAGAATCATGAAGGCTAGCGCCCGCGCTCCAAACAAACACTGGTGACATCGGCCGGCCTTGCAGCACATTCTTCGGGCTATTGAACGCTCAAACAACGACACGCTCTGGCAGCCCACGCTCTGGCGATCCACACCCTGCAACGTCATTTGCGGTGATGCGCGAAACCCATAGGCCAGTGCAAGTACAGTAGCTATACTTGAGGCCGAGGGTAGGTGACGAAAGCTTGCAGGGATGCATCCGCGTCAGTGGAGGCGAAGCATACAGCGCCGTCCAGTGACAAAGGACTGGTGGGACATCAAGCGGAGTGAGGCAAATCTTTTTTCATAGGCTAGGCACAAGGTCTCGCTCATGAGGTAAAATGTTGTGAACACGTAAGACACATGAACAGCAATGACACAGCCAACCTTAGCTTGTGAATCTGTTGAATCTGTTGCATCATATCCCAAAACCTCCACGGAGGAGTTGAACCGAAGTGGATGCCATAAGAGGTGTCCACAAGAGGTGTCCCAGAGGCGTCCCAGGGGGGAGTTGAACCCGCGGGTGGCCCTCTACATATGAAGTTTTCACGTGATGCGGCGATCTCGAGGATTCCAGCCCCTAAAGCAAGGACAACTCCAGCTAGCTGGCGCTAGCTTTCGTGATAATGTTTCTTGTTTGGTTGCAAAGCAATCAAGCTGCACTTCCTTTTCTAACTAGGACATTAGCTGCGGCGGGCATTTCAAGTTCACAATGCTGCTGAACCTGAAGGCAGTCTTGAATACGCGCTGACCCTGCTGATGCACGGGGGAGCGCGCTCAAGAAGTGTGCGGACTCAAGAGTATCACACAGGCTTCTGAATGGTTTCTATAGAAGGTTCGCGATGTTTTTTCATGCCCCAGGCGCAAGATTGGCCGATGGCCGCAAGTCCGACGTGGTATTGGGGAAAACTCAGGATCGATGGTGGACCGGGAAGCATGCGTTTTTCTGAAGCGATCTTCGGGCAGAGATTCTCCGCGAGATACTCCATACAGGAAGCGGCACTTAGCCGGCAAGCCCGCGTTCTTTGCAGGGGGGGTTCCAACCAGAACTTGATGGCGTTGATGACCTGTGGGGCAAGGCTCCAAAGGCCCATGTTGTAGATGTCTTTGTGGACCCGCAACCTTGTATTGGTGCCACTGCTGCAAACACACACTTATTGACACGCGCACTGAACTGAATGCCGCTCGCCACACGGCAACCTAAGTGACCATATTCCTAAGAGCGCAGGTACAACGAAGCCTGAAAAGTAAAAAGAGGAGGCCACCCAAGTTCCAAGGCTCAAGTCTCAAAGGCTCAAAGGCTCAAATCGCACGCGCGCAGACCTGAATCATCCTGCAGCCTGAGGACTCTGAGGACCTCTACGATTGGAGAGCGGCTAAAACATGCACGATCAGACTTGGTATCCCGTGATTGCGGTAGCTTCGTTGAGCGCGGTCCCACAATCACGCCGCACTCCCCTGCTGCTGGTAAGCGAATGTCAATAAGAAACAATCCATGAATCCATGAGGATCCCTACGGGGTACACACACACACTCTGACATTGGTTCTCAGTGACTCTGTTACCACGTTGAGAAGGAAGGTGGTGGAACGGCAAGGTGAATGAGTCCGGTGACTTGAATTGTTGAAAAAATGTTTCACTCGCGCGGCTAGCTGCAATGCACAAGCGGCTGAAGACTGCGGTGGGAAACCTGATGTTTGTGGGGAAGGTATCGTGCGAAACCACCATGAATCAAATCGAAAGTGGAAAAGCTTGAGCAACAGTTTCTGGTGCAGGTACGTCAGCAAGCGTCCTTGCTGATATCAGCACATCCTGAAGAGCCTCCTTGTTAGATGCCCTCTCTTCAGGTGTGGGGCATCCCCCTGCTGGTGAGTCGGTGGTGAAACACGTGGAAAGTGAATCGGTTGGAAGAAACCCTTTGTCCAGGGGTGGACACACACAGTTCGCCGGATTCGTGGCAGGCGTGGTGGCTGTGTCCTTTTTGGACATAGAGCCTCACTAGCTCGGCGGCAGCAGCTTCAGCGCTAGAGGGTGGAAATGTGTATTTTCGAATGGTGCGAAGTCTGGATTGGAGGCCTGACAGAGCCAAGCGCTGGCTCCCGGCGGTGGTGGGATCCCTGATTTTCCAGGGTTGGGAGGGTTGCATGTAGGTGATGGTGCGTTGGGGTAGGTCAATGTTGAAACCCAGGAGATGGAAGTCGTCCACAGGTTCGAGTTCCACTGGGTCGCCGAAAAAGTTGTGGTGGATGAGGGTTTGGATGGCAGGATGGTGGAGGAAATGTTCGTTGTGTACAATGAAGCGGTTGTCCACATATCGATAGTAGGTGAAATGTAGGTCAGTGTGTTGGAGTAAGTTGTTGTGGATCTGATGCCAGGAGTGTTCAATGAGTGTGATGGCTACATTGCATAGGGCTGGAGAGAGTTGGGAGCCAATCCCAGCTCCTCGGATTTGCTTGTAGGTGTTGTTGCAAGCCCGGAAAATGCAGGTGTTGAGTGCAAAGGCCACTATGGTGGTGATGTCGGATGTCTGGATGGTGCGTTGTGTAGGGTGTTTGCGACGGTGTCTGCCAATGTGAGAGTGGTGAAAGGGGTTGCCGGTGGCTTGGACATCCACGGTGAGTGTGTGTGTGTGGATTGCTGTTGTTGCCAGTGGTGGATAAGAGAGTGAACTGCATCAATGAGTCTGTGTTGTGGGACCGAGTTGAAGAAGCCGACCAGGTCATCATTGGTGGCGTACAGGGAGATGTCTGCTGGGGTTTGGGTGAGGTAGCTGTGGAAGTGGCGCCAGAGTTGTGGAATGGACATTTGTCCTGGATGCTGGGGGTAAAGGTGTTGAAGGATGATGTCAAGGGCACGGCTAGTGATGCGGAGTAGGTTGCCACTGAGTGACTGGAAGTATGAGATGATGGTGCGGCCTTTTTGCCAATGTTTTTTCTCCTTGAGGTGAACCACACCGTAGGGGATGTTGAAATCTTTGCGGAAGCCCCATTTGTTGCGGGTGCGTAAAATGGGGGGGACAGTGGCTGCAAGGTGGTCGTGGATATTGGCGGCTGTGATGTGGGGAAGTGGTTCGAAAAGTTCAGGGGATTGCCATGTATTCAAGGCGCCTGTGAAATACTGGCGGGGGCAGAACAGCCGGAGTTGTTGAAGCTCATGATCGGCATGATGAAGTACTGTGTTTTGGCCGAGGTATTCTTGGAGTTGTCGATGCAGGCGAGCCGTAAAACGGGGCTGTTGTTTGAGGTGCTTGCTGTGGAGGCGCCATTGATGTTCGAGGATTGGCTGCAAGTGTTGTACGAGGGATGGTGGTAGCCCTTGTAGTTTGAGCCATTTCGTGTAGGCCGTCTGGAAAGTGAGGAAGTAGCGGGCCTTGCTTGGATAGTAGGCGCTGTTCATGTTGGCGTTGAGAAAGATGCTGAGGTGTGTGGGGAGGTGAAGCTGATCCAGTGTGAGAATGTAGTGGCCATTGGTGGTGGGTGTGTCAGGATCCTGCAGTAGAGTTCGAAGGTGGTTGCATGCGCAGGGGAGGTCTGCTGGATCTGGAGGGGAATGGAGGGTATCCTCCCATGTGCGGTGGTTGTGCAGTTGGGACCGCAGGGTTTTGTGTGCGGCCTCACGAAGGCGGTGCGAGGGGAGGTGGAGGGGGATGGTCAGGTGCTTGTGTTGCTGAATGGTGGTACGGAGCCACTGTTGGCAGTGCTTGGTGAAATCGTCGTGGGCCAGGAAGGGCACGGTCAGGGGGATGTTCGGTTTTGGTGGTGTGAGGTTGCGGTAGAGGAGGGCTTTGTTGATGATGTGGAGAGCTCTGCTGCGGCCGGGTTCTTCGAGATTGGCGGCCATGCGCCGGATGGCGTAGACTTCAAGGTCGGTGTGGCGGCCGCTTCGTAGTTCTTTGGCTGCTTCAAAGGAGGCTGCTGTGTGTTTGGTAAGGTTGCGGAGAAGGGTAAGGGCGTGATGCTTGGTGGAGGTGTAGAGGTGTGGTTCTCTAAGGGTGTGTTGGCGTTGTCGTAGTCGTCGAAAGAGACGTTTGTGGGTGGCCAATCTGGAGTAGAAATGGGCTCTGTGCTTGGTGAATTGCCAACCTTGGGCTTTGAGTTTGAGGTGATGGGAAATGAAGGGCCAGTTGAGTGTAGGCATCCAGTTGGCGATGTAGTGGTGTTCCTGGATCCAAGCTTGGTCATAGGTGTCGTGGGATGTAAGTTGGATGGTGGTGTAGTGGTGGATGTTGTCATGTGAATGCCAGTAACGTAGGGAAAGTTCTGCTGAAATTGGGATGTTGTTCTGGAGTTGTTTGAGTTTGGCACGGCGGTTATGTTCGCGGTGGGGGATGCCAATGGCGGTGGAGCCGACATAGAAGTGGCCATGTTGGTGGTAGCAACGTTGGGGTGGGTCAGGGTTGAAGTGGAGCTTGATGTAAACCGAATTGGAGGAGAGGAAGTTGTGGTAATGGTAGGTGTGGGGTAGGATGTTGAGCTGGCGAAAACGGTTGCGCCACTGTTGTGAGCGACGGGTGTTGGAAGGATATGCGAAAAGGAGTGTGATGTGGATAAGGCCAGTGGCAAAGATGGCTTCGGCACGGTCGATGTATTGGGTATGGTGGATCAAAGTGGAAAGTGCTCTGTGTAAGTGGAACAGGTGTTGGAGGGTGATGTGGCCGGTCGGTAGTGTTCTTGAGGGCCCGTAGAGCAGTGCCTTCTGCTGGTGCCGGAGAGTGGGATTGGAGTTGTTGGATGAGTAGGTTGATGAGGGGGGCGTGGAAAGCCCGAGCCTGGGTTGTTTTGCTGGGAATGTCTGTTCCTTGCTTTGTGTGGAGGGTCTCGGCGATGCCGTCCAAGTCGAGGCGTTTCTCGCGGAGCTCTTGGAGTAGATGGGTAACGAAAACAGACTCCGCAATGCTTCTGGTGGCAATAAAAGCCGTGAATTTTCCGTTGCTAAGAATGCGGGCTGTGAATT